AATGTATTGCCACTTCTTCAAATTATTACAGAAAACTATTTACATAAAACTGAACAGAATCATAACAGCAGTAGTCATACCAAGTAACAGGACTTCATTTGTTAACCAATTAATGCCGGAATGTAAATAGTGAGCGATGTGGTGGGATGTGGGGTTCTGGAAGTCCTCCCTCAGAATAAACTAGATGTGATTTCCTGCATTTTGGTATATTTTAATGGGTTCTTAAACATCTATGGGCTTGGGGAAAAAAAAAGGAAATATATATATATATATTTTTTTTTATTTATTTATTTATTTTTTTTGTGGACCCCCGGGGGTTTGTGGACTCCAGTTTGAGAACCACTGGTGTAGAGTATATGTTTCATTTTGGGGGTTTTCAATAGAGTTTTCTGAATAAATGATTCTGCTAATACTCTGTGAAAAAACAGTGCTCTAATCCTATAAAAGTATCTACAGACAAAATGTGAGTTTGTATTTACATTTATCAAACCAACAAAATTCAGTTTCCTCAGAGAGGCCTGGAGATAAATCTGACTGTTTCACTGAGCTGCCTTCCTTCGGCTTGTTCATTCTCCATCATGAGCCATCAAGGTATGTTTGTCTCATTACTGAACAATTGTTTAAGTTGCTGTCTAACCCACCGCTGTTTTCATACCAAAGCTGTTCATAAATCATCAATTCAGCTCAGGCATGAACTGTAATCTGCCAGACTGAAGGCTTGACAGCTCAATACTGCGTGTCAACTCCTATTTTTCCTCACTTGCCTCATAAAGATTTTGATATGTTGTTTTCAGAAGAATCTCAGGGGAGCTCAAAGAAGCTGACAGAGTGAAATATTAAGTCAAAAGAGTGACAAATAACAGCCTTTAATTACCAAACATCAAGGAGTCTGCTCTTGTCTTTTCTGTTTGATTAAATGTAATCTCTTTTTGACTTCAACATGGTGTACCTGCCTCACACAAATATAAATTTAACTTTTTGGCTTCAATTTGTAGACAATGAGAATATAACTTGCAGCTCATTTTGCAGCCCAAATTTTTGAGGTTGTCTTTAAATGTGAGCTCATCTGAACAGACCGAACTGTTGCATAAATGTGATTTTATATATATGTATATATTAAAAAAAATTGAATACCACTTTACAATAAGGCTCCCCTTATAGATGGCTAATAAGTAGTTTACAGATCATTATTAATTCCTCTATAAACACTTTATAAATCATTAATAACTGCTTATTATGCATTAATTAAGTGTGACAGAAAGACTAAACTGACCAGTTTTATGCCAAATAGTGAGCCAAATTGTTCACCTATATATTTCATCTAGAGTTGTTATAATAAACATTCCAAACTGTTACTACCATGTAAGAACAATAAGCATTTGTAGACCTATTTCTTTAGCATATAATATTGTACTTTATCACTGCATTATAATTATCTACAACTAATATTATATCCTTAAAAATAGGCTTACAAATGCTTATTGTGCTTACAAGGTAACTTAGTCTGAAATGTTTAATATATCAACTCTAGATGAAATATAGGTGAACAGATTTGGCTCACATTTTGGCAATAAACTTGTCAGTTTAGTCTCTGTCACCCTTAATTAATGCATAATGAAAAATTATTAATGATGTGTAAAGTGTCTGTAGAGGAATTAATAACGTATATGTAAATTATTTATTAGCCATCTACAAAGTATAAGGGAGCCTTATTGTAAAGTGGTACCAATTATATGTTAAAACAAAAATAAATGCTAAATTGTATTGTACTGTATATAAAAATGAGAAAAGTTTGATATTAGCAAAAACAGTTCCTATATTTGTAAAAGCTGAATATTCTCATTTATACGTGCAAAGACTTCAGCTGTTCTGAGCTACAGTTGCAGTTGCTTTTTTTTTTGTTTGTTTGTTTGTTTTTTTTGTTTGTTTTTTGTCATGCTGAAAAAAACAAGACCTCTCCAGGTTGGACTTTTTCTACATTGCTGCTTCCTGTTTTTTGCTGTAAAACTTGTGCAAAGTACATGGAATCAATGGTTTCTATGTAGATCTAAGACTTGATGTCATCATGGGTGTAGGATGTGCAATGGTAACAAGACAAAACATAGTTACCAAAGCAATTTAACAGTTTAATCATCAAACATGACTATTTTCCACATCACTTAGCCTGAACGTGCTCTGGCTCGTATGGGACAGCAGGGGTTTTAGCACTTCTTTTTTTATTTGCATATCATTTATAGACTGTGCTCAGTGACAACTGTTTACACAAATGTTTCCAAGTCAACAAACTGATTTGCACAATCAGAAAGATCTTTCCATAGATCACACCCAGTCAGGCTTTTACTTTCCTCCTTTATCTGTTGCAACTTTACATCAAGAAATGTTATTTATTCCGACATCACTTATTGAAATAACTCCATTTAATTAAATGTATTTATGTAGCACCAATGCACAACAAATGTTGTCACAGGTCAATATTGAAAACATTCACATTCATTTAAAATGACAATTAGTGGAAATTATCTAAGGAATCCTGCAGATTGCACCCAATCTTCATTTTGTTGAATCCTCCCAGTCTGAGCAAGCACACAGGCAACAGTGGAAAGCAAAAACTCCCTTTTAACATGAAGAAACGTCCAGCAGAACCAGGCTCATGATAGGTGGCGATCTGCCTTGACTTGCTGGGGAAACAGACAACTAAAGGCAGGTGCAGGTGAAAATTAAGATTTTAAATTCCATTGTGAATTTGACAGGGGCTCAGTGGAGAGAAGCTAAAACTCAAGAAACGTGATCTAACTCCCATCTGAACTCTGGCAGCAGCATTTTAAAAGAGAGTCTTGGACACCCAAGAAATACAATGGTCCAGCTGAAAAGTGATAAATGCTTTGATAAGCTTTTCTGCATCATTTTGGATCAAGATGTTTCTAATTTTAGTGATATTGTGCAGGTATAAAAAAAAAAACTCAGGTAAATTTATATCCTGATCAAAAATAACTCCCAGGTTAGTTTACATTAGTACTGGAGGACAAATTAATGACAAGCAGAGGAAGTGAAAGGCTACAAAGTTTGATCCTACCATGCTGAAGGCTGAAGGCTGCACAGAAGTCTGTTGGAGTCAGGCTCCCCACCATCACAGACATCTACACCTCCAGATGCAGGAAGAGAGTCACCTGCATCATGAAAGACCCCACTCACCCAGCACACACACTTTTTGCCCCTCAGGAAGGAGGTTGAAAAGCATTAAGTCTAGAACCACCAGACTGAGGAACAGCTTCTACCCTGGCTGTTAGACTCATGAATATCTAACCAGAATAATCACTGTAAAAAATCACATCATGTTGCTGCTGATCTGTTTCAATATTGGTGTGTTCATGCGTGCTCATCTGCTTACACGGACTCGTGTTCAGGTTTGTGCTGATGTTCGACGGGATGGTTTTTATGCTATTAGTGCTTAGTGTATATTTAGTTTATGTTTTTCTTAGTTCATATCTTAGATGTTATCATTGTTTTTCTTTTACATTTTAATGTTGGATGTAACTTAGACCCTGTGTACATAAGTTTGCTCCACCACATGTACCACATGAGGTGCGAATGACAATAAAGAATCAGCCTAACATGCATGTTTTTGGTCTGTGGGAGGAAACCGGAGAACCCGGAGAAAACCCACGCATGCACGTAGAGAACATGTAAACTCCACCCAGAAAGGCCCCTGGACCGGGGTTTGAACCAAGGACCTGCTCGCTGAGAGGCAGCAGCTCTACCAGTTGCGCCACCGTGCTGCCTTGGGAGATGTTCAACGAGTAGATTTTTTAAAATTCTATGCTTTACAAAATCTTTTAGTCCATGTCGCCCGCCCTGAGTTTCCTTTTTAATATTTTGCTGCCATAAAACTTAAAATAAAAACAACAACAAAGTAATAATTGGCTTTGGTTCCTGCTCTTGACATGTTGTTTTTGTGCTGTTTTAATTACAGTAAATATTACTTTGCCGATACTTGCTGTGTGTTTCATTTTTTGTGCATTTAAACCACATCACACTGTTATTTGGTGACAGGGTTGTATTAGAAATGTCAGAACGTTCTTAACAATATGAATGTGAAAAATTTTGATTTTTTTCTTGTTTTTAATTCCCCAGTTCTGTGAACGCAGACTGCTCGTGTGGATCAACTGCTTTGTTTACTGTAACAGCTTAGGGTTGTTCTTCTTAGTTAAATAGTACTATTAGGTCATAATTAAACCTCTATTCTAAGGCATTAAATAATAACTTTTAAAAAAATCTATGGTAAATGGACTGTATTTATATAGAGCCTTTCTATCTAATCAAAGCACTTTACACTACAATCTGTGCCCTCATGTACCCATTAATACAGCACTCTACTATTTCTATACAAAGAATAATCAGTGCTTTAGAAAATAAAAATGACTCTACAGTTTGTAAGATAGTAAACCTTCAACTTATTATAAACATGAATAAATATATGATGTGTTCGACACTGACAGTTTTACAAGCCCTGTTCACACATTGAAAAAAGTACTTAAATGAAGCAGAATGAATACATTTAAAGTGGATTTAAATTATTTTTCTGAATACTTTTGACAAGGGTGGTGAGTTAGTGCATTATGGCCAGATACATTCTCAAAAGCAGTTCAGGGACACAGACGCAAATTTGAAACCGGCATCTCCATGTAAACACCAACACATTCTCTGTCTACAAGGTCGTCCTTCCACATTTGTTGAGCAAGACGAAGGCAGATGGCAGATGGATCTGTAGACAGAAAGGCGCGTACGTGGCAAGAGATAGGTTAATTAGATAGGGTGGAGAGAAGAGCCACCGTGATGAGAAACAGCTGTACAGTGGACAGAGATTAGACGTAAAGTGAAAACAGAGTTGCAAAGAACAAGCAGAGGAGGGCAATGTCATGAGTGGGTGAGAGAGAGAGAGAGAGAGAGAGAGAGCGAGAGAGAGAATAAAAGACTGGAACACAGTTCAGACAATTGGATGCGGAAGTTGCTGTGGTGAGCACATGGGTGTGGCTAGGTTAACGTTTTCCCCATCTGCCTTTCAAATGTGATCTGCAGAGTGGATGATGAGGCATCCCAGAAAACAAGCACCTCACAGAATGGAAGCCAAGGTAAGCATGAGAGTTAGGACATAAGACTAAATATCAAAACGCTGGAGGCTGTTTCTGGATGAAACTGAGTGAAAACGAGATGGATGAAGAATGACAGACAAACGGATGAACAGATAAAACGGAGAGAGTGAATGAGAGTGCTAGATGTGACAAACAGGCAGGCCGGTCAGACTGGGGGAAGGAGAGCGACGCCTGTACAGCCCAGAGGAGACAGGCCTCGTCCTGACATATGCTCTGAAGTCAAATGAAGATTGGCATGACCTGCTAATGTCAGCTGTCAAAGCTCGTGGTGTCCACTGACGCTCACCTGTCACACCGCTCTCTGCCCGGTGGGATGAGCTGCCACCAGGTCAGAGATCGAAATTCATTTTCTGCTGGGGGTAAATTGGGCACCACCTTGGACCTCCATCTACTGCCTAACCTGCACAACTGATATGCTGCTATACAATCGTATAGTACCAAATAACTTCTTCAAAGAGTTTTCTTTCTTATTTTGGCTGTATGTTGAGGGGGAGGAAGAAGTCTGTTCCTCCACCATGGACTCAAGATCTCCATTATGTTAAAAATATTTTGACACATCTTTCAATGCCACTACTTGGTGACAGCTTTAAAAAAAAAGATCAAATCTACAGCTCTAAGTTCTACTGGGATATGTGTGGGAGGATGGCACACATAATATGTGAACTCGCTCGCTCTTTTTTTGACCAATAAAAACGAGTTTATTGTATTTCTAGTTTCAAAGTAAGGAATCTGTTTTCTGTTGCTGTGCATGAGGAGTGTGGTTAATGATGTTGTTTGATAAAAGAGGAAGAAGTGGCCACGTGATGCTGAGCTCAATGAGCACATCTTCCTGTTTGTTGGCTGTGCAATGAACAGAGTGCTCCAGAGGCATTGCATCAGACGTTTCAGATGATTTTTACGTTTATTGTAGAGAATGTATTGACTCTGTACCCAAGCTTTGGCTAAACAGCTCTAAATAATTATAATTACTGATAGATGAATCCAGTGAGTTTCTTTTGTACCAAGAAGCGACTCTTTTTCCTGTTTGTTATGTATCTTCCTTTAATTTTTTTTAATCAAACTTAAACGGGATTTACTTGTGTAGGATCATTGTCCTACACTATAAAGGCTGCACAGAAGTATGTTGGAGTCAGTCTTCCCACCATCACTGACATCTACACCTCCAGATACAGGAAGTGGGTCACCTGCATCATGAAGGACCCCACTCACCCAGCACACACACTTTTTGCCCCGCTCCCCTCAGGAAAGAGGTTAAGGAGCATTAAGTGTAGAACCACTAGACTGAGGAACAGCTTCTACCCTGAGGCTGTTAGACTCATGAATCTCTAACCAGAATAATCACGGTGAAAATTCACATCATGTTGCTGCTGATCTGTTTCATGTTGCTGCTGATCTGTTTCATTTTGCTGTGTTCATTCGTACTCATCTGCTCACACAGACTCATGTTCGTGCTGCTGTTCGGCGTATTGTGTTTATACTACTAGTGCTTAGTGTATTTTTAGTTAATGTTTTCCTTAGTTCATATCTTAGATCTTATTACTGTTTTTTTTTTACATTTTAATACTTTTGTTGGATGTAACTGAGACCCTGTGTACACAATTTCATTCCACCTCATGTACCACATGTGATGAGAATGACAATAAAGAACCTTGAATCCTTGAATCCTTGAATCATCACCATCACCTCCTGTGATGTTTTAAAGCTTGATACATTTCTTTGAAGCTCATTTCTGTTTTAACAATAATTTCTGTTCAAAAAATGATGTGTGATGATAAATAAATTATTCTTTTCTTCTAATATGTTTCTTTCAGATTTGCGTCGCCTCTCTAACGTATTTCCTGTTGGTTGCGATTCAAGGTAAGTGCAAAAAGTCCCTACTGGTTCTGAATTTGCTCACAGTAAATTCCAAAAATGAACTGAGTCTGAAATATGGCTGTTGGAAGTATGCTGAGAATGTCAGTCTTTCTGTCAACAACATGTAAAGCTAATATGGAGCTTTACAGCTAGCTTATGGCTATTCATCTAAATTGTGGAGCGGGGCACTGCTACTGAAAGCCAACAACTATGGGAATGGACATTTGGCATTTATTATGATTACACACATTCAATTTACAATTTAAACTCTAGTTTTACTTAAAAGGAACTCATTGCTGAGCCCGACTGAGTTCACCCACAAACCGGATGTGGCCTTTGGGCCTCTAGTTGAATAGCCCTGCCCTAGAAACTCATGATGTCCATAACTTCCCACAACTCCTCTTACCATCTGGATGAAATCAATTTATCAAGTGAGTCTGCATGCGGAGTGACACGGTGGTGCAGATGGTAGAGCTGTTGCCTCTCAGCAAGAAAGTCACTGGATGGAATCCCAAATGGGGGGCCTTTCTGGGTGGAGTTTGCATGTTCTCTCTGTGCATATGTGGGTTTTCACTAGGTATTCCAGTTTCCTCCCACAGACCAAAAACCTGCATGTTAGGTGAGTGAGAGAGTGAATGGTTGTCTCGTTTGTCTCTCTGTCTCTGTGACGGACTGGAGGTTGTCCAGGGCTGTCCACCGCCTCTCGCACAGTGACTGCTGGGTATGTGTGCCACGCCCCAAAACGAAAGAACTGGGTAAAAGATAATGGATGGATGGATGGATGGATGGATGGATGGATGGATGGATGGATGGATGGAGCCTACTCATGCATTTAAAATGAGTAACACACATTTATCAACATGTCGCTGTAAACTGTGGTGAGAGTGAATCCTGCAGTTTAGGTAAGGCTCAAATGTTGCTCCAGAGTTAGCATTAACTTTATTGTGTTGACAAAAGTCTCCTCTACTCATCTGGATTGAAATGAATAAATGAGTGAATCTACATACATCTGTATTCACAATCACACATGGATCTTGTGATTCATATTCAACTTACATGCTAACTTCATCTGAAAACATGCTAATATGACGTAGCATTAGCCTCCGCTGTCTTCTGTCTAAAACTAATAGAGACATCTTGTTCATTCTGTTGTTAATTAGAAATAGTAGCACTTTTAGAACATCATTAAGTTTATGGTTATGACAGTATCAAATTATATAAAAGTTATTCGTAATATTTAATTCCTTTTTTAAGTCTGCCCAACTTCTCCAAGTTCCAGAAGAATACGCTTTTTGTTTTGTTTTCAAACTTAATTGTAATCCTTCTTGTTATTGAATGAATTAGCCTTTTGGAAATTGTTTCAGTCTAAATTGGAATTTGATTTCAAATGAAGGCGTATGTGTTTAAGAGATGATTAAATATTCATAAGCATAACGCTGCATTCATTTCAGGTAGACGCTGTAATGGGATTGGAAAGGCTGCAACTGTTTTCAACAAGAGACTGAATGTCCAATTATATTAGAGTCAAGACAGTGCTCTGCTCCTGAGCACTTAGACACAATTTATCAGAAGTATTTAAAACTTACAAACAATAAAGTCGGTCGTAAATCTTTACTCATTTAATCAAGCTGTGTGTTCATTAAAAATCACAGCCAACAAAGTTGAGAAGTATTTTGAAACTCCAGCGCTAATTGGAAGGTGCTGAGTGAGCAACCAGACAATGGCCATGTTGTCCCGTGGTCCCTCTCAACAATCTGGCTCTGTTGTAGCTGGACTTTGCCACACAATCCCACTCACAGGGCGCTCACTGTGACAGGCTCAGTGCTTCTGCAGGCCTCTCTGCGCTGCATGGCCACACACATTCTGGAGTCTGGCCTCTGCAGGAATACATGGCAGCATTGTTGGTAAACCTAAACAACACTGTGCTTTGTTCTTCATGGAAAGTTCACTTTTTCATCTTTTTGTTGTTGTTATTGTTGATTAAAAAATGAATATTTTCTTCATCCCACAGTGTCATTGGTTCAGGCTAACACATCTGCCAATCAAACAATGTCTCTAAGCACCAGAACGACTGATCCTACGACTTTTACTGGTAAGGTTCTCGCTATTTGTCAGTTTTCTTGCAGTTGAAGGTCATGCGTCTCTCAGTTTTCCTCATTCTGTCACTCGCTGGGTGTGACAGGGGAAAGAGTCGAAAGCAACGTTTCCAAAGTTGTCAACTCACCTCCAAAAGTACCCCCCACCAACGTACCCACAAACCAACGAAATGACACAAGCAGCTCAGTCAGCTCCACCCGCTCAGGTAGTGTGGCGTGTCATGAACACTAAACACAACACCTACAACTTTAGATTAACCCCATCAGCTTGTTATTCTTCTTCAGCTTTCACCGAGATGACAACAAAAGCCAAATCAGCTCAAGGTAACAACCTTCAACCTCGTGTTTTTGAGCAAAGGCTTTGAGTTTGACCAGAAGATGATTCATTTCCCCTTTTCATTGCATTTCCTCAAACTAACTGAAAAAAACGTCTCACATCTCTAGTTTCCATCGCAAATACAGAAACCTACATTTGAGCTAAAAATAAAAAGCTTCAAATCGTTCATTTCCTGTCCTGGTTAAGACACGAGAAGTAGTTATTCCGCAGCATTTTACAGCTTTGCACCTTAGTACTGGCTGAAATGTAAAATACATAGCATTAAAAACATTAAGTGTGCCGATATGTTTTAGAAACTGTCATAAATTTCACTGAAAGGGATTTATCTGAAATATTTAAAAATGCAATAAACATTTTAAGAGGCATTGGAGTGATATGGAAGTAACATGAAGATAATGAGGAGTCAACGAATCCTGTGGAAATAAATTGTTTCACTGTATAAATTTATGCTTTAGAACAATAAATGTAACTAGGGAAATTGCATATACTGCGATAATGCAATGAGAATGCTTTTTGCAGAAGAACTTACTGAAAACAGCTGAAATTAGCTTAAAAAATCATGTTGAAAAGTAACTAAAACGGAAGAACAAGACTAACAGCAGAAGAAAGCAGAAAGAATACATATTTGCTGAATTTGGTTTTAAATAAGCAGAAATTAGCACAAAAAATAAAATTAGCTAAAAACTCTGAAATTAGCAACAAAAAATAGCTGAAAAGTAGCTGAAATGGCAGAAGGAAGCTTAAACTACCAGAATGAAGAGGAAAGAGCTTAAATGAACCAAAAGAAAATGTGGAATTAGCTTAAAAGCTAAATTTTGCATCAAAACAGCTGTAAATGAACATATATCTGTGAGATATTATCCATAAATTAAACGGATTCTTTCATTTTTCTGGACTGAGTTCTATCGTGCATTGAATGATTAAATGTAATGTGAGACGTTAATTTTCTTTGACCCATCAAAAATGAATGCGGTCATTTATTAACAGAATCAAAGTTTAACATCAAACATTTACATTAATTTGGCAAAATTGATTACAATAACGGGCAGCACGGTGGCGCAACTGGTAGAGCTGCTGCTTCTCAGCGAGAAGGTCCCTGGTTCAAACCCCGGTCCAGGGGCCTTTCTGGGTGGAGTTTGCATGTTCTCTCCGTGCATGCGTGGGTTTTCTCCGGGTGCTCCGGTTTCCTCCCACAGACCAAAAACATGCATGTTAGGCTGATTGGTAACTCTAAATTTTCCCTAGGTGTGAGTGAGAGAGTGAATGGTTGTTTGTGTCGTTTGTCTCTATGTGGCCCTGTGATGGACTTGCGACCCGTCCAGGGTGTACCCCGCCCCTCGCACAGTGACTGCTGGACATGGGCACCAGCGACCCCCGTGACCCAAAATGGAATAAACGGGTAAAGATAATGGATGGATGGATGGATGATTACAATAACAGCTTAATTAATTAGCTTTACAATCAGAGACCATACGGCCATGGTATCTCTGCAGCTTTACAACAGACATTTCTGACAATATCTGGATGATTTACTGGCAAGATAGAAGAGTTTTAAAGATGGGGAATGAAGGAGTTAAGTGGAGAGAAAATGTGTGTGAGAAATGTGTGTTGAAGAAGAACGACAGCACTCTCCATTCGAACCCAGCTTTCCTCGGTACACTTGCAGTTGAAGATCGACTCTTTACCTTGGCAGAGGATAATTCCGACTTCGGTGTAGAGTTGCCTTTCAACGCTTTTCCAGCGTCTCCGTAGGATGGTTGGAAAACGTCCGGAGTAGTGACGGTGCTTCGTTCACACCACGCTCACCTCTCGGTTGGACTCGCATGAGCTGTGAGCCCGTCAGAGTTCCACTCAGATGTGGAAGATTCCATAATTCCCACAAGACTCGGAAGAACTTCGGATCATGTCTGGAACCTCCTGTTCTCTCCAGCAACTTTTCTGTTCGGTTCGGTCCTCCGAACTGAACTGCTCTCCCACCGCACTGCTTGGAACTAGGAAGTGTCGACATTTAAAGAGTTCTGTTTCCGGTTCATTTGGGAAGTCTTGATTGGCTGAAAAAGCCAACAAGGGGTGTGTTTTTGTGACGTAAGAGGTCACTAGAAGTCAGAAAAACAGAAAAATGTTTTGGAACAGACAGAAAATGTTTTTGAGACAGAGAAGAGAAATGTTTAGGCGAGTTGGGAGGAAACAGGTGCCAGCTTCTCTATTTACGTCTGAGAGGATTTAAAAACATGACAGTTCGTTCCAACAAACTTGTTTGCGTTTGTCTCCGACCTTGGACCGACTTACAACCTGCTCATTTCAGACAGAAGATCAAGAAAATGAATAATTACTCTGTAACAGACCTTAACTTGATTTCTACTTTGAATGAGGATTAAAAATCATTAATACTGTTTCACAGTTGATTTAAAATGAGTAGTTCACTTCAACATTTAAAATGGTTTGAACTAAACACACTTTGATTATCAAGACATTTGTAAAATAGTAATGATAATAAAAAAGAGAGTGTTCTTTCAATTGATCAGTGCAGGACACTTAGAAAGTCTCTGGATGGACTTGATTTTGTGTTTCTGGATTCAAATCAATGAAATACAGTTCTTGTCCCAGGAAGGCCCTCAAGGTCAGGATTTGACCTGAGGCTTAGTTCACTACACAGCTAAACAGTAGCTGAAATAGCAGAAAAAGCTGAAACTAGCAGCAAAAAATCTGAAAGAAGCATAAGTTGAAATAAGCAGAAATTGCTACAAAAACTTGAATTAATCTGAAAACAGCTTAAATTAGCTAAAAAAAAATGCTAAAACGCTAGCTGAAAAAGTAGAAAAAGCTTAAAGTAGCAGAATAAAGCAGAAACAATACAATACAATTTGCCCAATTAGCTAAAAGAATGAGAAATGAGCACCAAAAGGGGAAATTATCTGAAAAAAGCTTAAATTTGAAAAAAAAGAAAAGAAAAACAGCTGAAAAGTAGCAAAAAGGAAGAAAGAAGCTGAAATTACCAGAAGGAAGTGGAGAGAGCACATTTTTGCTCAATTATGCTGAACAAAGTTTAAATGTGCCAAAAATTAAGAATTAGCTGAAAAAGCTTAAGTAGCATAAAAACAGATAAATAGTAGCTGAAATAACTGAAATTGGCAGAAATAAACTTAAAGGAGCATAACAAGCTAAAATTAGCAGAAAGAAGTTAGAAGAAGCACAAAAATGCTGTAGACATAATCAGAAAGGAGCACAAAACAGCTGAAAAAAGTTTTAATTTGCACAAGGAATCTGAAAGAAGCTGAACCAGAACAAAATGTGAAAGGAGCAGTAAATGTTTGTAAACAGATCTAAAAAGATTTTAAGGATGTAAAATGAGCTCAATTCATTTTCTATGAGGAAAAAAATGGCAGAAAAGCTAAATATTTTAAAAAACTAAAGTTGCACTAATACCAAAAATCATAGCTGGATTGTCCTGAAAGAGCTGAACATTTTGATTTATGATTTGATGAAAGATATTGAAAACTGTGGGACAAGAATCACGCTGATAAACGTACAGATGGATCATAATTGCATGCTTCATAAGCGCTCACACTATTACAGTATTAAACTTCATAAAACTAGGTTGTAAAATTCTGCCTGCCTTTTGGGAAAACTACGGTAGATAGAATGTTTAAATAAGTTATGGGAGCTAATGCTTTTACTGTGTACTTTTCCACAGTGACGTCGCCTCCATCCAAAACAACAAAAACAGCCAAAAAGAGTAAAGCTCCTGCCTGGGGTACGCTGATTTTTTTCCTACTCCATAGTTACCTTTAATGTCAGAGGCGTTGTGGTTTCATTGTTATCTCTTGGCTTAGTGACAGTATCACAATTCCCTGTCTTCCACACAAAACCCACGGCGTGATGGCAGAACAGAGCACCTCACTTCCTCTCTTGCCAACAGATTAATGCTCCATTGTACCTTATGCAAAAGGAGATAAGATATTTGTGTCCTCATGCTGCGCTGGCTTACCATAGATAAGATTTTGATAAACCATCAACAACATGTCAGCAGAACCAGTAGATCTGTCATGCCATTTTTGACAGTTGCTCCCCACTGATGTTTTCTGTGCTTGTTCCTGTAGATGCTTATTTTGTTCAGCAGTCAAACTTAACTCAATTCTTTTACCTCTTATGTCATATAGATCCAATACGGGACAAAGACTTTACCTATGGTAAGAAACTTTTCTGTTTTTCTTATACAAACACTTACCAGTTCAATTTATAAATGACATTTTGTTGGCCATGTGTTCAGATTATGGATCCCTGCGATACGCCGGTTTGATCATCGCTGCAGTGCTCTTCGTCATGGGAATAATGGTTATTAGCTGTGAGTTTGTGTGAAATCTGAAAACCATTTCTGCATTTTATTATCTCTAGTGACATTCAGCCAGCATTTCCAATCTCTTGTTCTTCTTTAACTGCAGGTGGCAAAGTCTGCCGGCTGCCAAAGTGTCGCAAGAAGTCATCAAAGTCAGTGTTACACTTTACTCCCAACTACATAATGTTCATTTTGTGTTTGAGCAATGACTTTTTTTTAATAGTTGTAATATTTTTATGTTGACTGCATTTGTGCATGCTCAATAATCCAGGTAGAAAAAGCAAACAAAGTTAAGTCAGGTCCTCTGGACAGATGAAAAAAAATATATATAATTTAAATTGTTGAAACGTTTAATCTTTTATCCTAAAAACGTCGTCAGTCTGACCAGTCTGATTCACACCGACAAAGCCTTTTGGATAAAAGATCAAACATTTCATCATTTTTTAATTTTTTTACTTTTTGCATCCGTCCAGAGGACCAGACTTAACTTTGTTTAAATGGCTAAGGTACTCCTATCCAATTAGGAACCTGTAGTTCATGGGATTTTTTTAGACCTTTGAAATAAGGTTACAGGTGGACATGTTATGGACAAATATTATCTTACCAGTTGGAGATACTTGTTTCAACAAAACGTAGTTTGGAAAAAATAATTTAGCTCTGATCAGGCTGATGAGCTAATAGCCATTTGTCTAAAGTGGAGCCAATAAAAAAGTTATCTACAATAGATAAGATATTAATTGTTCATAAGCGGCTCGACCGAGTATGATTAAGCCATTTGTTGGGCAAAACAATAACACACCTGCTACAAAACACACATGTATTATCTTTATTTTTTAAATGAAATGAGGCAGTTTAATAAAGTGGCAAATGTGTTTGTTTTCCAGGACGTATCATGTGGTCCAAGGATAAAGACGTGTGCACAGTGACAGCTGCGCTGCTTTCCAAGAAACCAGGAGAATAACACTTTACTAACACCTAGCAGTGTGTGTTTGTGTGTGGACGGACAGACTGAGACGCTGCTGGGTAACTGGACTGGAACATCTACGAATAAACAGAAACAAGGCCGACAAGCGGGAAAACAGTGGATCATTACCTTTTTTTTATTTTTGTAAAATCATTTCCTTTATGTTGTAAACTCCTCTGAAAAGTACAGTTTTAACAAATTATGACAAAATGACTCAATTGTTCAGTAACAATAAAAGCAAAATGATCCTAATAACCTCTGTGCCTCACGGATCACCCTCACTTCTCTGTGAGGAAATAAAAACTTTATGCTGGGTCACCTTCCTTAGACTTTTTGCACACTCCTTCCAAAATAAAAAAAGAAGAAGAAAAATAAATTATCATGTTTAGCAAGAGTGTCTAAGCCTCTTAGTGGTTTTATGCTTGTGAGTAAAGCCCTAGATTAAACAGCATCTACTGGCACGTATCTTTGCATCCATATGGTATCTAAATTATGCACACAACAGACTGAGAGAAACCAGGCATAGTTTATAACACATTTAATATCAAAATAAACACCATCCAGAGTCCAGCAAAGCTGCACAATATACAGTATATTTTATCCTGTTTTCTAAATGCCATAAGAACATATACAAGTGATGACAGCGGTGCAAACAAAGACAGGTTATGATTGTTTTGTGAGATATGAATGTATTAGTTACAAAAAAAAATTATTTATGAAAGAAACCCCATTCGATGTCTTTGGTATAGATACAAAAGTCTGGAATTAAAAAGTGCTTATATGAATACAAGTATCTGACATAAAATTCAACATTATTGCTGTAAAAGTAACACTAAATATACATTTTACATTTGTATACGACTCCCATCCACACAAGAACTTTACCCTTAAACTGAAAAACTAACATTTTCAATACAGATTAACTATTAAATAACTAGGGGAAAAAAAACAACATTGAGAGATTGGTAATTCACAATAAAAGCTGACGTTTATAACTTTGCAGAGTTTGTTTGTAAATGCGTCAAAAGCTGAGAAATAAATGGTTTTTATGGACAGCTTGACCAGAAAACCCAAAGCTCAGGTTCTAATGGGTTGCTAAAAAAAATTAAATGAGCAATGCCATTAATACAAAATCAGGATTTCTTTTACTTCGATAACATCATCAGAGGGGTGGGGGAAGCTCAGTTGTCTTGCATTTACATTAAGTGGGTAGTGTCATAATAAAGAGGCAGTAATAAAGAGGCAGTGTTGCACGATCCTTTCCACAGTAGGAAAATGCATTGAAGAGTTGACTTGCTGCACTTATAGTTCCACATAGAAGTAAGCATCAGTAAATGAACACAATGATTAGGCAGAAAACATGAATGAAATGTTTTGCACTGCAGTGTATGCCATATTGTATGTTTGAAATGCTAACATATAAGAAGCTTTTTGATCAAAGCTACACATTTGAGAAATAAATGCTGCAGGCACAGTGCTCAGATATGAACAGTAAAAGAAAGCACAAGCAGTAATATACTCATTTGTTTTGTACCAATATAGAAGCATATTTTTTGATGGCACCCCAGTAAAGACAAATAGCTTTTCTACAATTTTATACAAAGACGACCGCTCCATTTCTGCTCTTAAGCTTAGCTAGATTGCAGCCCAGCTCTGTCCTCAGGAAGATTTAACCAGATCTTGTTTTGACAAATCAGGTGTTTAACTCCATGTTGCTAAAAGCCATCAACGCAATTTAGCCCCCCTCAAACATTTTCTGACAAAAACAGGGCCTTTGGTTTTAGTTATTTAGCTTTCCTGCACACTGCATGATGGATGCCATTTGAATGAAATTACCGTCCTCCCTCAGAATGAAAAGGACACTGTTGGTATTTTCCCAATCATTCCACTTTATTTAACACCTCCCACCAACCTCCATCAGGCCACCAAGCTTCCTGCTACTTGTGCGGAAAGCATTAATCTAACACTCCACAGCGTTTTTAAAGGCATTTACAAAATGCACAAGTAAACAGTGCTTTTTCCAAAAACGAGAAAGAGGGAGAAGTGAGAACATTCATGGTGATTGAAAGGTGTACTCAGCTGGTATTGTTTCTTTTTCATAACGATTGAAAAGATGGAGTAAAGGTATTGCCTCTTCCAACTCTGCCTCCTACTGTCGTTCTCCCATAGGGCCAGGAACAGAGGATGTCAGACACGTGAATAGGAAAATAAGTGAGCGCTCCGCAGGCTTAGTGTGGATTAGCACGGTTTGACTCACTTAACGATCATTTCAGAGACAGGTCTGTTTCACATGCACCAAATTCAAATGAAAATACAGCTGCATGGCTGGTCCAAAACATATCCTGCAGGCCATAAAAAATAAATGTATCTATGCTAATTTATCCATTTTAACTAAAGAAGCCTTAAGCCATGTGCACCGTCTTTAATTTGGACTCTTCAAATAGAAACCAGTTAGAAGGTTTGAATGTGTTCCAAAAAGCCAAGGCCAAACTGTGTGCATGTGGTCGAGACAAATAAAACAACAAAAGATCTTTATAAAAGTGCAACTGCAAATAGGAAAGACATTACTGCATACAATGACACGTCCAAGACATTGTGTGTGGGAGTGAGCAACAGAATGAGCAGTGAGAAACAGGCTGTTGTGCAAATCAATTTAACTGTCCTGAGTCCGAGTGGAAGATCACATAGCCTGAACCTTTGCGCCTCTCTTGGCTTCGAGGCAAACAGCTGCTGTGCTGCCAGGAACTAGATGGCCTCTTTCTGGTTCTGCTCTGTGGGCACAGAGTAAATCCTGGAAAAGGGAAAAAGCAGGCAACAAAGGGGAAAGAATGAGATGAAAGCCATGCAAAATTATGACTGATGATCCATGTGAGGTACAAGTCTTAAAAACATTGTCTGCTTTATGCTGGAGTCCTTTGACAAGTGCACGGTAGCTGCATTACCTCAACCAGAACTCAACCCTGGGTGGGACTTATAAACCCAGGAGGAAACTGTTGATCTAACAAGCCAGAGGTTGCTGTGCGATTAAGCCTCTTTTTCAACAGAGCAATCATTCAGCACCAAACTCCAGAGCTGCAGCTCCTGCAGGCAGCTTGTAATCCTGCAGAGGAATTTTTACTCTCGCAGATAGACTTGGGTGTCTTCTCTGTACTAGATGTTCTCCAACTATAAGACTTTGAACTTCGTAACCTCTCTGACCCAAATCATGGCCATCATTTCGCAACCCCAGTACAAAAGAAACTGATTACTTTGCAAAACTCTTCCAACTGCAAATAACAGCAGATAGGGGAGGCCAAATGCAACAGAAGGTAAACTCTGTGGAACTGGTTCAGGTTGTTTTGCTGTCAGGCAGAGATTGGCTGGTTGTCAAGAAGCCAGGAAGGTGTTTACGTGGTTTATTTCTGAGTACAGCTGCGTACAAATGACTCAGTTTGAGGGAACAGGGAACAACTTCGAACAGGTCGAGTCCTGTCCCATTCGGTCATACGTACAGACCCAGTGACACTGTCTTAGAGCCATTGTTTGACAGATAGGCGGGGAGTGCTCACTGGTAGCTGTGCAGGGCTCAAGCTGTAGCAATAATTGTTATACAAGTCCAGACGGGCTCAAATGGGTGGATGCTGGTGATTGTTTTTGCTAATCGCTGCTGTTTTTCTTTAGTTTAGGCGTTGATGAGTCAAATGAAGCAAAGCAAAAAGTACTAGTAGAAAGTCTGTTACTCATCTTACTGGTTCTGTCACACGGATGAAGTGAAACCAAAATTCTTAGTAAAACTTTGACACCAATGCCTCACAAAACAAACAACCGTTTATTTTTTGTGTTTTTTTTAATAAGAGTAAATTGAACTTACGCTTGCTGCCGAAGTCTCAGATGCCGTTTAACTATCATTACAGCTGTAGGAAGGGGTGAAAGAAAGGAAAAAAGGTCATGGCTCCACAAGAGAAGTTCATATTTACTTAGGTGGTGACAGCTTTACAAGGCACACAGGGAGCATAGTGATTCCTGACAAGTGCTGAAAGCAGCTCATTTGTCATCAGTGGGAATGTAAATTTCACATTTCAGTATGTCATGCTCGAAGCTCAACGCAGAACACTTACTGGCTATTGCTGCGATGGTAAGAGTCAACACGGTGGCACCCACGACGACGATGATAAGAGTCATCTGACCTAAAAGAACATAATTTACAAAAAAAGGTTAGCTGTAGGTCAATATGACAAAAGTTTTCAAATGAAAAGCAAATTACAAGTCGGGGTGTATTAAAATTAAAGATCATAGGGTTACCTGTTGATTCATCCTCAGCTGTGGTTTTATCTGCATTCACATTAGTGTTGTGTGAAGAGACTAAGTGATCAAAAAAAAATGCACAGTTAAGTCTCACAAAATGGATTAAATCAAGAATAATCTGTGTCTTTAAAGGATCTAAGTAACAGCTAACTTGTGTTCCTTAGCATTTGCGTTTTATTTCAACAAACCGAGTTTTAAAAAAAACGTGTTTTGTTCTAAAGAATCGTAGCCATTTGCAAAAAGCGCTGCTTCTCCAGCAGCAGGCAGGCTGGACTCTAAGCAGGTCTGTAATTCTATCAAACGCCCATCAAAGCCAAGATGAGGAGTGACAGAGAGGCATGTGGAGAGAATGAGAATGCCAATGTTGATTAGATGACCGACAGGATGGCAGAGACGTCAACGTGCTCATTGGCCTTTCAGCAGAATCCACAGGGCCCTTCTCTAGAGAGCTAATTGATTCCATTCAGGGCTTAATGGTTGGAGGGAGGAAAACGCCAACAGGGGCCACAGCCCTCTGCACATATCACTGGATTGGAACACCCAATACACAATGCTGACTTCAGACAGTAATTAGAGGCCATAACCTTCACATACTCTGCTCTGGCCAGCTGCCAGTACAGTGTTAGTGCTCACGACACCGAACAAACTACACAATCCAAGTGTCCAGGCTGCCTCTTAGGAGGAGTAATGAACTCACCTTCCCTCATGATATCCTCCTCTTCTTCGTCTGTCTCTGAAACAAGAATAAATCAGATGCTTGTAAAGAAACTTTTTTTATTTACTTTCAAACAACGTATCTTCTATTGTACAGCAAAGATTAAAAAATAAACATATCCTTTTATTTCTTAAGCAACACCAATAAACCAAACTAACGTAATGAAAAATAAACCGGGAGCCTTTACAAAACTACATCCTTTAAAAAAAAAGAGACGTTGTGAGTAAATAACGAAAGCCTAAATGAGAGGAAAAGCCATTAAGGCAGGCAAGAGCTGCACTCGAGAGTCATCAGCCAGAGTTATACAGCTCCTGTTGTTCACTTGGTTAAAGCATGTAGACATGTGGAGATGGATGGAGATGAAAGCCACATAAATATTATACCTTTACCCAGTGGGCTGCATTATAAGCCTGTACCTCATCTACAAAAACACTATTCTTATCCAAAGCCAAAATAATGACAAATGTTGGGACTAAGTAAAACGCCCAAACAAATAACCTGTGGATGGCTTCACTGTTCTACAACTAAATTTAATCCCCAATTCCATGATTCATATCTGTTCTGATCACTCCTCTCCTCCACTTAATGTCGTTTAATATTAGAAATTATTTCAAGGAGGAAATTCACCTTCAGAAAAATAAAGTGATGTGAAATGTACAGATGAAGTTTAAAGTACAGTAGTCCCTCGCTTCTTCTCGGTTCATTTTTCGCAGACTCGCTTTATCACTGTTTTTCAAAATAAGATTGGACATGACACACAATTGGCTGAAGGATGGATGAGCCGCACGATCGGCATGAATTTTTTATTTAAAATGAAGTATTTTAAATTATTTAGCACCTCCAACAGTGCAGGATAAACTTCCTGCTGCACTGTGTCATGAGCTTTGCAGCAGAGAAGTGGGCGTGGCCGAGAGCGCTTGCAGGTGGCAGAGAGCTGAGATCATGACAAGCTGTGCTCTTTTAGAGCGTTTACTTTAGAAACAGTGTTAGGGAAATTGCAAGCATGTGGGAAGGGTTCAAAACACCTTAATATATACATGTAAATAAATACTAAAATAAACTTCTACTTACAACTACAGTAAATACTCAAATAAACTACCACTTACTACTACTACTACTTGTGTACATAGTTTCGTTCCATCTCATGTATCACATGAGATGGTACAACAATAAAGTTTACTTGAACTTGAACTTGGACTATTGAATCCCTACTTGGCGGATTTTCACTTATCGCAGGAGGCGTGGTCCCAAACTCCCGTGATAAACGAGGGACTACAGTAAAACTAAATTGTGTTTTTCTCTTCAGGTGTCGTATATAATGAACGTACAGTAATTTAACTAAATCTATCTATAGATAAAATAGATAAAGCATTGTTTGAACATTTGAGTCTATATTCTGAATAATACAGCATTACACCCCCCTTGACCTCCCCCTCTTTACTTCTAGTTTATGATACCACGACTCTTTACCTTTTAAAGGTAAATTAATCCACAGTAGTACAGTGGTAGTCGGCTTTTCCCACCAAATCTGCACCTTTTAAGTTATTGTGTGTTTATGAGCAAATTTTCAAATCACTTTTATTTACGTGGTACATTTAAACAACCAAAAGTTGACTAAGCACTTCATATTTGAGCTTCAAAGCTCAGACGGCTGATTATTAAATGTCAAATTTCTATAAATGTTGAAGAAAAGATTAGAAAAATCGAGAAAATTTAACAGTTTAACAAAAGAATGGAATACGTTTGACATTTCTTGGGAGCTATCATCATCTGGCACTAAAATAGAAAGCTTGAGCAACTGTGATAAAGTTATTATTACCAATAATAAATCTAAAGAAATTATTATTTATGTGAAACGTCTCAGCATATTTCTTTTCAAAAACGTGTCAAGCAGAAATTATTTCTCGCCATTTTCCATAATAGGTGTGATCTCTATTGATGAAAATGCATGTGGGTGTCAGACGGTTTAATTTCTACATTCTTGCCACACAACAGATACCATTCATTTTTTGATGTCATAAAAAAAAGAGTTGTGCTCAGCTTTTTAAAAGCTTCTCTTTAAATGTTTTTGCACTTTAATTTCTTCAGAGAGGAACAATACTCACCAAAGCTGCCCGATCCTTCCTCATCGTATGAAGAAGCTACAAACAGAACAGAATTATGACACATCCACTTAAAGTGACAATGTTTATGTAAAGATATTACAGTTCTGCTGTAAAATCACGTTTTCTGAATCTCACTATGAACTTAGCAACAGTTGCTTCCATTCACTGTTTGTGTTTTTCCTCTCTTGTTATCTTAGGTTGCTTGAGCGAACAGGTTTCGTCACTTCTAGGTTCTCTTTTAGGTAGGGTGTGAAAATCAGTAGCAAGTGCAAACACTAATCCTGCTGCGCACAGACCGTGCACGTGTGTTCAGGAAAACTTGTGTGTGGCTGGATGCGTAGACTTGATTAGATGTTTATCGGCTGAGGTGAGAGCATACCGGTGGCAGCTGGCAGCAGTAGCAGCAGACACAGAAACAGAGATCGCATCATCTTCAAATGCTGCAGGGAGGAAGGGGGGTGGGGGTGGGGGTGGGGGGGATGAAAAAAGACATCAGAGTTAAAAATATCTGCTATTAACATTCAGCCGCTGATGTGAGTGAAACCTCTGTGTTTTGGTTTAGAGACAAGCTGTGATGGAAAGCTGAAACCTGTTCTATTATTGGACCTTGCATGTTGGCACTTTCAGTTCTAGGATCACATCCCAGCAAATTCAGAATAGAATTCAAAATCTTACTTCTAACCTACAAAGCGCTCAACAACCTAGCTCCATCTTTTATTACAGATCTTATTGTTCCATGTTTTCCAAACAGAGCACTTTGCTTTCAGACCGCAGGCTTAATTGCGGTTCCTAGAGTTCCCAAAAGCGGAATGGGAGGAAGATCTTTCAGTTTTCAGGCTCCTCTCTTGTGGAACCAACTTCCAGTTTCTGTCCGTGAGGCTGACACATTGTCCAGTTTGAAGACTGGGCTGAAGACTTTCCTTTTTGATAAATCCTATAGTTAGGTTTGGCTTGTGCTGTAGGCTTAGACTACTGGAGGACAAATTGACCTCATTTCCTTAAACTAATTGTTAAAAGTGAATAGTTTTCATTGGATATTATTTCTATCTTAATATGTGATTCTCAACCTGCCATTATGTATCTGTTCCTCCTTCCTGTTCCTCTCAAACCCAGATGGTCAAAGCAGATGGCCGCTTGTCCTGAGCCTGGTTCTGCTAAAGGTTTCTTCCTAATTTTCTTTGTCGCCTTCGTGTTTGCTAAAGATGAGAGTTCTATGATGAAGTTAAATTCAAAGCAGTCTTCTCCTCAGATAAATTGTGTTAACTTATTTTGATATATATGGATGTTTCTGTTCAGTGCCCTGAGTCGACTTCTAATTGTGTCTTGGCGCTGTATAAATAAACTGAATTGAATTGAATTGCCAGTCAGTGGAAAACTACAAATTCTGAGCCAACCCATCCTCAGTTCGTTCTGTTTTGTTTTGTTTTTTTAAGCAAGCTGGCAAATCTAGATTGTAATCTGATATGTGTGCTGGAAAGAGGGTTGAACGACAAAAATTTATTTCCCCATCAAGCTCAACAGGAAAGAAAACCCGGTGGTTCAAGCACGTCTGTCACACTCGCATGGCAACAAGTGTCGAGTCAACATTTTCCCCCCACAATGCAAAGCCTGGGTGCTGTACCAGCTGAGTAACTACAGTTTCCAGGAAGATTTCCACGGACCAAATTTAGTTACTGTAAACAAATTTCTAACGAACTTTTGAAAAGCGACTTGAGAAAGAAACAAAACAAGGAAAATTTGAATTTAATTTTGTATCATCACAAAAATTAATTCATGCAGCGTCTGTTTTTGGTTTTCCTTTTGCGTTGCGTGAGTTTGTATTGTTAATTTAACAGAAAACAAACTTAACTTCCTCATGAAACCGGGTCCTAAACCATGTCTACTGCCCTTCCTTTAATACAGGCACATACAGTAGATGGGAAACACAGCTGTTCTTCGGCTTGTTAACAAAGCCCCCAGCTGTTTTAACACAATATGAATGCTATTTTTTTTAACGAGGCAATCATGGGAATGACCTTTTTTCCGGTTCAGGAGCAGTATGATGCTTCCTCAGTCAGATTTAGCCCATTGAACAAGGACCAGGAGTCAAAAAAAGCAGGCAGGGCCCGGATGAATAATGAACAAAGTGGGGACTCTCCTGTTGAACTTTGCACCACATGTTCAACTTCAGGCGCCTCTGCATTTTTTCCTTCTAACATTGTGTCCCTATTTCCTTCCCAGTTAATCACTACAAGGAAACAACTGAAGTGAGACAACAGCAAATCTAACACATTCCCCCACCCCAGGAGGCACAAAAGTGCTGTTGCGAAAACTATGCAGATGTGTCACAATATTAATAAATAAGATAACCATCCACCACCAAATAAATAAATAAATCCCACATTCTGCCATCTTTACAACTACGAACACTGCTGAAGTAGTTGAGTTAATTTAATCTGTCACACGAAGACGAACGTCCACCACGTGGAGCTGCGCAAACAAACCTGTCTACAAGATTAGCTCCATACGAAAACAGCAGAACGGCATGAAGAACTATTTTGGCTGATTATACAAGGAGAACGACGTTAATCACACGGCCGAGTCTGATTGGAGAGAGGAGTGGAGTGTGGGGGCTGCTCTGGCCTCTTGAATAGCTGAAGTAAATCTCCAAATGCAACCAACCTAAGAAGCTGCAAATAAAAGCCTCTTCTGTATCCAATTTGCTTTTCAGAGTCGCTTTGGGTGAAATAATAAGCTGATCCAATTTGCAAATATTTATCCACCCAGTCCACTGCCTCTACATCCAAATGGCTCCTGACGCCTGTATTATTTTCCAAATTGGGTAATATATTCTTGTACATTTGAATTTGCTCTTTCATACCAAAACCCAATTTGCGACATATAATAACCAGCAGTGCGCTCATAAAGCAGACATGCCAGCTGCCTTCTGGCTAGAGGATCATAAACAGTAAATGAAGAAATCAACAAATCGTGAAACTGTAGTTCTTTTACACAAGACATGAAACTACAGGAAGATTGTTAGAGGGTTTGGGGACATTAAGTCTTGTTTTTGTTCCACTTCCTCTAATAAGGTTATCACTGGTACCAATGAGCCTCACGTCAGTTTGTTAAAAACAAACCTAAACCTTGGTTTTTACAGTTAAATGGGATATGTCAGAGCTTCAAAAGTGTGGGTTTATGAGTGATTGATATCTTACCTGCTGTGAATAGCTTTTTGAACAAACTCGGTTTAGAGAAACAGAATTCAATTTTGATCAGACTGACGAAATAACGGCTAGTCCAAACAGGGTCAAAGACAAAACGAGTTTCTACAATCACAAAAACTCATCAGCAGCACAATTTATAAAGATTTACATTGTGTTAATTGTACTTTACATGGTTATTCTGGCAGAAATAATGGCATTCTTTTTCTGGAAATGTGTTAGACTGTATAGAAGTGTTACAGCTAGGCGCTATTACGACCCAATCTTGCAAAATATCCTCTGTCTTTCTGAGAAATTAAAAGTAGTCTAATTTAAAAGTATATAAAATAACTCTCACATGCACCACTATACAATTTACGATACTTTGTTTTATTTTTTTTATTGGACCACAAAAATCCACTTGTGTTAGCTAGCTATAGAGCTAGCAAGACTGCTAAATAACAAGTCCTGTCAAATTAAAAGTCTCATTTTCCAATTTGGACCGTTCATAAAACTATAATAGGCAAGATTGTAAAACTTTGTAGCCTTTTCACAGAACTTCACTTCAACCTGACATGAACTGAGCCTTTAGATCTTGTTTTTGTTCTTATTTCTCTAATAAAGTTTTGACTGATTAAACTACCATTTACCTTCATGTCAGTGTGTCTACAAACAAACTCAAACACCAAGTCTCTGTTAATACTGTTAACACTGCACAAAATACACCAAGTCCTTTTAAAACACACAAAGTTCGCACAGTCTTTACTTTAGTTAATCCTTAAGAGTAAAGACTTTTTAAACCCTTATCGGGTAACCACAGTTGGGTAAGGTACTGCACCGCAGATAGCGCTGATAACCAGTGATTCAGATCACAATGTCTAAAATATGACTTGAGAACTAAAATATGTGTCTGTAAAAACAAAAGAAAAACAAGGGTAATTATAGTTTATAAAAGGCAAAGCTCAAATAAACTTCCTCTAAAATTTTTTTTAAAAGCCAACAATAAATTGAAAAAAGAAAAATCAAACCCACCCCCCAAATTATTTGTTATTCATCGGCATTCAAGTACAAAATCCAGACGCTTCTACTTGAATAAAGAAAGAAAACACTTGTATAGAAATTCTTGCTCAACCCTGCCAACTCCAAAGCTGCTGTTTATCTAAGTAAGGTTAATGCAAATACGCTCTTTCCCAAACACACTCTGCTGCTGTTGTGTTACACTGCAAACAGACAGGATAACTAATAATACGATCAACAAAGTAAACTAGAACTCACCACACTTTTAGTCAGCGTTGTGCATAGCAGTGAGTGGTCCAACTCAGGTGCACACCTAAAACTAGGGAGCTTTGATGGTTGGTCTATGAGCAGGTCAGAGCAGCCAGCAGTGAAACAACTGAGAGGATATGAGAGCGCTTCTGACGATGACGCATTGTCATTAATGCACATATCCTGTCTACGCCTGCTACCTCTGAGCAAATGTAAAAAGAATAAAAATAAACGACAGTACATGTGGAGTTTGTACTTCTACAAAATGCTGGTATTTTAAACCACAGCTGTGCAGAGTTCATCCACAAATCTGTGAGCACGTACAGCTCAGCTTTAGTCTTTATCTGATGGAGACAAAGCTGTTTTTTTTCTTTATTTTGTTAACAGCACTATCAGCAGACCTGTCCCAGACGCACAGAAGTTTCTAAAAACATTTATGTGAAATGTAACTACATCAGTTCACCACAAAGGAGCAACATACAGTAATAAGCTATTAAAAAAAAAAAAAAAACCTCTGTGAAAGGTGTCTGCCACACCTTTACAAAACCACAGACAGTTTGATCAGCTAGATTTATGTAGTTTATTTGCACACAAATCTACGTCAATTTCAGGTTAAAAAATAACCTTAATCAGCACATTGCATGATATTGCACAACACAGGAAGTGATATGTAGCGTGGGGTGCAGTGTAAGTTTGAAACGCTTGTTCCGTCTTATGCAGAAGTCTACATATTCAAACATGTTCTTGATGTTTGGAGCCTACTCTATGATCTGTGGGCCACAGCTACATAAAATAACAGATTAAACTATCAAAAGCATGCTTCAGATTACAAACTTCCTGCTGCTGAGTGGGCCAAGTTGTACAGGAACCGTCACTCGCTCACCTAGGAGGGGACTTTATTGCCACCTCATAAAGTTCAGATCGTGGCCCCAAAAACATTTGCCATTTCTTGCAAATTTTTACCACTGTGGGGAAACACCATTGCTTTTCAAAGGCAGTTTTTGTTTTTCGTCTAAAAACCAGTCGGCGCCACATAGCCTTGCTCTGCATATGAGGATTTCGCAAGACTTTCTTTTTGAACTCAACCCTGCAAACAAAATGTTTATTTTTTTTAAAGGCCCGAAATTGTGATGATTATGCAGATAAGTTGGCAGCTGCAGCCAATTAATCAAAGCCAAAATGACGTACTGTACGTGTTGATTGACAGGTCATGTCTTCACATGCACAGGTGCACAAATAGGGCCTCCCTGCCAACTTTCACTTCACTTGGCAGTGCTTTTCCTGTTCCATACTGTCAAGTGTTATTTATCCACAGAGTCCATATATTTGTTCTGTCTGTCAGCTGTCTTCAGAGAAGTCACTGCTGCACCAGCTGTGCCTTGTAAATGGAGGGTCTGCACATGCTTGTCTTTGCAGGTGCAGAGTTTTAATTACCCTGGATTCAAAGGTCACTTTTGCACAAACACCAAAGCACCATAGTCTAGTTTTTCCTGCTTGTTTCTCTCTTCACTCACCTCGCTGCTCTTGCTCTGGTATTTACTTAGAGTTGTGTTTTCAAACTTAAAAGTGTAATTTCTGTTTTACTCCATAAAAAACTACAACTTAAACCTACTACTCTGTGCACAATTGGGGCGAGCACGCTCCAAAAAGCTTCGTCTTCATCACCACACCATCAGTCACAGTGCTTACATTAAAAAACAGAATTTAATGCACTACATTTTGCAACGTTTTAAAAAAGCATTTCTACTTTGTGAAATACAAAACTTGCTGCTAAAACTAATTAAAATGAAGTAAACATCGCTGTATGATTTAATAGATACTCTTGTAGAACCTTAGCTGAAATGTGAACTTACATTCAACTGATGTGACTTGTTCCTTTGCAGCGTTGGTTTGTCGTTGCTCCTGCAGTCGAGGTCCTTTGCTATTTTAGTAACTGCCTGTGTGCGTGTACTTTAATACAGGTGTACTCAGTCTGAAGAAACCTTCCTTCATTGGCTGCTGAGCTGGGTGAAATATGACACCACCCTCCCATATCTGTTCTAGTAAAATTGCTGTGCACACTGGGAAACTTGTTCTCAGCATGTTTGGTGATCATATCAGTCATAGTGTGCTGCTTTGTGTCATGAAGTTGTCTGCTACTGTCAGAGAAGCTCAACTTCAATGATCGTGGTATTGCTTGCTTGAAATGCACATTTCGTGGGGTTTCAATTGACATTATACCCAACAGTTTCATGCAAAATAAAGAAGCATGAATCAATACTTTAAGTGTTTATTTTGTTTCCATTTGAGGGCCTGCCTGAAGTCTGGAAACTTCTTTGTCCAACTATGTCAGCTGAATGTCCCATTGTGTATCGTTCCTCCTTTCTGTTCCTCTCAAACCCAGCCGGTCAAAACAGATAGCCACTTGTCCTGAGCCTGGTTCTGCTGGAGGTTTCTTCCTCATGAGGGTTTTTCCTTTCCACTGTTGCCTTCATGCTTGCTCAAGATGAGAGTCTGTGACAAAGTTAAGACTCAAAGCAGTCTGCTTCTCAGATAAATAAGTTGTTAACTTAATTTTTATACATATATGAATGTTTCTGTTCAGTGCCCTGAGATGAATTCTGTTGTGACTTGGTGCTATATAAATAAACTGAACTGAATTGAATTGAACTGAATGGTGACCACCTGAAAAGGTATTTTAGATAATGGGTCTAAATTCCCTAAAATCTCATGTAAACTCTTTAAAGAGTCTGTTCAAGTGGGATACTGTGGAAAGGTTATGAAGCATCAATATTTTAGTTGTTGCAAATGCCAACTGTACCACCATGCTGCCCTTTGAATGGTTTTGGTTTAGAGAAATTTAACTTATTTCTGACCATATTTACGAGCTAATGGATGGTCCGAGCAAGATAAAGATGGTAATCAGTTGCTGCTGTCTAAAATCAATTGCACTATCAAAAATGTCATAGTGGTTCATGAGAACACCAGTTTTTATTTACATCAGCATTAATTTTCCATTACACAGATATTGGAGATATTTTGATGGTCATTTGCAAAAGGAAGAAGCAGGTAAAGATAATGGATGGATGGATTTGCAAGTGTAGATATGACAACAGTAGTGAGCTGTTGAATTTCCCATGTCCCCTGGAGTACTTCCTGCAGGAATATGGTAAATGGTAAATGGACTGTACTTATATAGCACCTTTCTATCATATTTCAAGATACTCAAAGCGCTTTACACAACAATCTGTGTCCTCATTTACCCATTCATACAGCACTCTACTAGAT